TTTGACGAGTCACCTAATTAGAGAAGAGCCACCACTATCCAACACTAAAATGAAAAAGGCTGACAGTACCAAGTATTGGCAAGCATGCAGAGCAACTGGAAGTGTCGTATAATGTTGGTTAGAGTGTATACTGGTATAGCCATTTTGGAAAACTGGGAATTTCTAATAATACTATTCTATGACTTAGCATTTCCACTCCTGGATATAGACCTTCGAGAAAGGAGTGCATAGTGCCTTTATTAATAATGACTAAAACCTGTAAGCAACCAAATATGTATAATAGCAGGTTGGTAAACAATAGTATATTCACATGGTGGAATACTAAGCAATGTAATAGAAACCATTTTCTAAAAACATTAAACTTTTTTAAAAAAATGTGAAGGGATCCGCAGAATAACATGTTGAGTGAAAAATATTTGACACAAAAGAATAACTGCTGTGTGATTCCATTTATGTGATATTTAAGGACAGGCAGAAGTAATTTATGGTATCAGAATGTTGATTATCTGAGGACTGGACAGGACACTGTTGAAAAAGGATATAAGAAAGCTTTCTGGAATAATAGTAATTTTCTGTATCTTGATTTGCATGGTGGTTACATGGTAAAAATTTCACTGAACTATACATTTAAGATTTGTATATTATATCTCAATAAAATACTCTTATCAGGAAAAGCGTATCTAGCTATGTTAATTGATAATCAACATACAAAAATTACAGTTTTTATGTATAAGAAAGAATGATAAGGAGAAAATTTTAAAAACTACCATTTATAACTCAAAACTATAAAGACCAGGAATAAATCTAATAAGAAATGTGCAAAAACTTCCAAGAAGAAAATTAGTAAGTATCACTGAGACACATTAATGAATATGGAAATAATTGGTAATATATTGTATTTCACAAATTGGAGGACTGAACATTATAAAACTGGTCAGTTCTCCTTATATTGACTTAGGAGTTTAGTGTGATCTCAGTCAAAATACCAGTAGATTTTTTTTTTTTAAGGAAATCTTCCCTTTCTTCCATCCATCCACCCTCCCTCCCTGCTATAATACAATTTAAATAACAAAATAAAACTAGCAAAAAAAAATCCTCTAAATCAGTACAATAACATTTTACTGGGAACATGAACATATACCGTAAGTGCTTTAAAGATTCAGTATAGTGTGTGGAAGGAAGAGAGACAGCAAAACATTTTGTCATCTTTCTTTATTGTTGAATGCCATGGTTAATGACTAGTGTTGGGAAGATAAGGTGATTATGGTTGGGATTGGTTTTTGATTTGTGACAATTGGGGTTGCCTTTCTTGGTGTGCTGCATTTTGTTAAAAGCTGTTTCTGAGCTCTGAGATTTGCAGTATGAACTCTTTCTCTCTCTCTACTGGCATGCCTTAATATCTGGAATGTAGCTATTGCATACTTTACACTGTGAAGTCCGGGTAGAATCATTGGCTTTACTTTAGTGAGGCCAGGGAAGGAACCCTTATGAGGATGTGGCTTTATAGAAAGTTTTTATTTATTATGCTAGTACTGGAATATAAAGAGGGTCAAGGGCTTTGAAATGGAGGGTCCTATTTGGGCTAGAGGTTGGACTTTTGCCCCAAAAAACCCCCAAAAAGCCCCCAAAAAACAAAAAACCCCAAAGCGGTAGTAACATCTAATATTTTAATCACCCATTTGTTTCAAACACTTGTTTAGCCCTTAGTAGTTATGGTGCATGCTCTAGGGATGAAGTAAGTCCATGTTCCTACCCTCCAGATGCTGGTGGGAGAGACTAATAATTTTGTGCCATGTAATAAAGGAGTTTATAAAGTCCTTTAATTGAAAGAAGGAGATGATAAGAGGAAACGTACTGAAGCATGTTGTACATCCCTGGTAATAATAAAAAAAAAGGAAACTCAGTATATTATAAGCTCTAAATCAAGGAGCTCACAAAATCACAGCATTCTTTCATCCACCGTTTTTTAGTACCATAATTCTACCATACTATATTATGGTTAAAGAATATTATAATTAATCTACTTCTTTAAAATCCATACTTTTATTATAATACATCTACCATATAACTGAATTGTTATGTGCATATTTAATTTTATACATTTAATTATGTATATACACATGCCAAGAATAAATAGGATTTAGGAAATGGCTACTTTTCAAAAGTTTTATATCTTAGGTCACTTTGAGGAGCAGTGAGCATGTATGTATGTCTTGAGCCCTACTCAGTTATTAACAATTTGTACCTAATCTTACCTCTGTAAGGAAAGGTGTATAGGAGTATTGGGGAGATGGTGTCTTCAGTTTGTATCCTTGACTTTCTTTCCCTCCCAGTTGTTTCCTTTGTGGAATAGTATAACAAACTGCAGGGAAGCTGCTTGGTCCTAGAGATACATTTGAGGCCATCCGTTCTCCCAAGAGTAGAGAAGGGAACTAAAACGCTTATGTTATCTCAGCACATTTAATGTAATGTTTCCATACAACATAAAAATCAAGAGGTATGCTTTCTTGGTTGGAGGGATCTGAAGAGAAGGATGTTAGAATTTCCTATATTGAAACATTAGAAAAATACTTCTTGTTTTTAAAATCTTAACTAGATCTAGGATAAGAAGAATATATATCATTTCAGGGCTGTCTATATCATAGATTTGGGATAGGTTGTTAACACTTTTGGGGAACATGAGACCTAGTTTTACTCAATGTGGTCTTGAGGCTGAGTCTCATTTTGTTATTAACTTTATGTGACATAAATAGATTTTAAATTTTGCAGACTGGGTGTATTTTGTAGAAATCAGGTATTCCTAAGTTTTCCATAACTAATGTCTGTGTGCCCCATTGCCTGGTCATGATAGATGTGATCTGATGTGTTAACATTAAGAAGGGTTCATTTCTTATTAGTATTTTATTATAATTAGCTTAAAAATACATAATACTAGAGGATCATCCACCTGGAGATTTAGGATTGAGTGTAGTTCTCCTTGACTTTTGACCAGTTTATACTTTTGGAATATACTGTAGAATCCTCTTTTTCAATGGTTATTGTACATGCCCACCAATGCTAGTCAATTGCTGGGTGCCTCTTCTATCTCTTGCACATGACCGCTGATGCTAGTTCTTCTTTCTTGTTAAGGGTATTGTTGCTGCTTTTCCCAGAACTCATTGCTTGTTTTAGTTCATTCACTTCTGATTACCAATGTAGAAATAAGGTTCCTTTATTTATACCCCTAAATACACATATGTTACAAAAGGAACAAATTTTTCAAATGAAAACACTCCCATTTATAAAGTCAATAAATAGACACCTTTTTATATAAAACAGATTTTGGTGTTATATTTACCTTTTATTATAGTTACCTTTTGTATACTATGTGTTAACTTTTCTCTTTTGAAGTATCACCTTGTACAAATTTAATTTCTTCGAGTTTATTTTTGTTATTATTATTGTTATTATATTATTGCTGAACTCTGTACAACTTGAACAGTAGGAAGTCTCTCAAGTTGCCTTACCTCCCTTTTATGTTCTTAAAAATTTATTTCTGATAACAGTGGGATATTCTAGGTGAATGCTGATTTTTTTATGCCCCGACTCATCTAGATACCTTCCAAGGAGTTCTGGTATCTTTTGTGGTAAATGATGTAAGAGAAAAAGCCACCAGAGGCTCAGGTTGCATGTGTGAAATTGGTATTTGGGCAAAGAGTGCTGCTGCTGATGTTGGATTACTCCTTAAAATGACAGAGGTGTAAAGTGTTTATTTTTACATGTGAGTTTACTTTGATATTTACATTTTAATGTATCACGTTTCCTGTTTTCTTTTTCAACATGTGGTTTTACTGATTCCCAAAGAAAGACTTTGTCTTATATTCACATAAGTTATTTTAAGTAATAGTTTGGAATCTAATGCACTGAATCTAATCTCATGTTATAAAGTTAGGGATGAAAGAATAATTTACTTTTCCCTCATGATTAAGGAAGATAGCTGTTATTTTCACATTAATGTGATAGAGCAAAATCTTTAGCATAAAGATGGTGTAGCACAAATGCAGTTTTCTCAAAAAGCCAAGAAGTTAAAAAACTCATTTTTGCTCAGGTTTTTATAATGAACACAAAATGGAGTGAGATAACCTGGCTATTATTTATGCTTATTTAGAATAGTAAGTAACACATATCTTGAGCAGGCAAAATGCATGGTTAGTCTATCTGTGGGAATCAGGCTTTTCCAGCATGTTGTTACATGCTTAAAATTAAGAAAAATACCATTAAGCAAAGTAGCACACTCTTGCCGTGTTTAGATATATTTTCAGATCTTCTGTAGGTGAGTTGATTTTTAAGAGGTTAATCTTTTATTATTCTTATATGTAGGTATTTATTTAGCTAGGCTTTTCCCTAGGTAGACTTTTGGATAAAGAAATGAACATAGAAATATTCTCTTCATTCAGCTGTCATAGAATTACAGATCTCTAGAACTAAAAGGAACCATAGATTAACTTAATCCTTTTTTATAGAAAAGGAAATTAATGGTTAGAGAAGTAAAAGTGCAGTTTTTTCAGTTTTTTAATGTTTTCTTGATAATTCAAAGTAAGTGTTATAAAAACTAGTCATTGTATTGTAAATATGAATTTAATACAGCGAAACTTACCTAGGTGCTATAGTCCTGGCACTAAACCTCTCCTCTAATTTGTTGAAACATAATTTAACATTTTTTATTATGTAATACTGTCTTTATGTGTTTGAAATTGCCTTTTTCTGAGAATAAAAGGCTGCATATCTCTTGATTTGTTGGCATTGCCACTGCTGTGTTCTTAAGGAAAAGTAACTTCCACTTGAGTAAATTTAGCATTAAATATTACTTCCCCAAATATATTATCCAGAGCTTAATTAATTAAAATCCTTAGTTTATAGTATGCTATTTCCTAGAATATAGACTAAATTAATACTGTATTTTTTCCCCATCATTTTCTCCCATTGCTTAAGAGTTCTTGAAGCCAGCATAGCAGAAAATAAAGCATGTTTGAAGAGGACACCTACTGAAGTTTGGAGGGATTCTCGAAACCCTTATGATAGAAAAAGGCAGGACAGAGCTCCTGTTGGACTAAAGAATGTTGGCAATACTTGCTGGTTTAGTGCTGTTATTCAGGTAAGGATCTTTATGCACATCTTACCTGGTGGGCGTGACAGCAGTGGAAAGTGGGTTGGACTCATGTTTCTTTTTTTGGTCGTGTACTTTAAAACTGCAGACAAGGTTTTAATATGCCTTTCTGTCTAATGAACCATTTGGGGATTGCAGTATTCCCCACCCACCCTTCGGTTTCTCACTCCCAGTATGGAGTTTTAATGATAGAACACTACTTATGCTTTATTTGGAATTAATTTCTCATCTGCAGTTAATTTCTCCTCCATCCTTACTGTTAGGAATTGTTGTCAGATTAGAAAGAAAAATATTACTGTGTGTAAATCTCTGCAAATTTAGGGAAGGATGTAACCAAGATGTGAAACCAGAACTGTTTTTTGTTTTTTTGTGAGTCAGATCAGATTTATTTGTATATAATGGAAAATGACATTTAAGAATTATAGTCATTTAAATACTATTTTTATGTAAGAGGACGTTTTAGTTTAGAGGAGAATAGATTGACAAATTCTTAAGGCATATGTGAGACTGATGTAAAAAATAAATATTGATAAGTCAAGAATAACATTTCTCTTCCTAACTTGGAAAGGCCTTCATGAAATATTTCTTGAGCTCCTTATTCGAAAATGAAAAATGCTTGTATACGTAGGTATCTGTCATCTTCTCAATCTGGACTAGTTTTTATTTTTTTAAACTCTTTCTTGTGTTATGAGTAATTTTTTACCACTCTCAGATATTGAAAATGTTATCCATCAGATTTCAAAACCTTAAACAATCTCCTTAAATAAAACAATCTATGAATAATAACATGCTCTTAATTATTTTAAGTAATAATTTAGGAAAATTAATATTTGTGTTTATGTTTCTAATGCAGCTGAATTGTAGCTTATTATTTAGTGTTTCTGATGAGTTCTTTTTAAATATCTCTTCATTTTGTAACTTTCTAAACCTATGTGATGGTGTAAACTGTCATAATATACCACTTTCGTATGATACTAAAGCAACTAACAAAAAAAAAGCAACTAACAGATTATTTAGTTCATTTCTGCAAGGTTGCTAATTGTGTTCTCTAACGATTAGTTTGTAATTTAAACTTCTTTTCTACCTCAATGTTAAAATGTCCAACTTTTTTCTGCCTTTTTGCTTCTGGCAAATAATATTATACAGTTTGATTTCCTTTGATTTTCCTGGATTTATGCTTCACTCTTTAATAACTGTGGTATATGCTAGTTAATAATATTCTATTGCTGGTTGTTTTCCAGGCTATTAAAATATTTAGGAATACATAGATTAACATAAATTTGTAGTAATATTTTTGTTCCTGGCCTTGAGTATGTATGAATTATTCACTTACATGCCAACAACATCTCAAACTTTGTTATCTTAGATTCTCTTAGTTCTTCTTAATAGACTATCTTGGTTTACTTTACTTGCACTGTTAGAAAGGGCTTCTACATTTTATTGTTCAATCTAAATTTCATAGTTGAGGCATCATTTTAAAATATGAAGCACAATTTCAAGGCTGTGAATCTGAGTGTTCATGAATACACTTCGTTGCCTGTATTTGGACAGGTAGATTCTATCTCTGTACTAGTATGGCCAGTAGAAGAGGCTCACTGATTAGAGGGTTAGCTTTGTTATACGTGTTCCTTTAGGTACCAGAACCTAAGTATTTTGGGAGAAAAGGAGAACAGTATGTCAGAAAGGGACTATAAACAAAGAGATTGTACAGAAAATGGCTCACGTGATCTTCTGGATGCCAGCAGTATTAGCCTGTCTTTAGATTGGGCATCAACCTCTTACTTGGTCAGGACTATTTTTATCCTGTTCAAATGGAACTTTTGTGTAGAAGATACTAATTGGGCTGCTTTTTCCACGAGGATGTCAGCAAATTAGGTAGTTACTCATAGGTATATATTCTCCTCTCTAGTTTGGGGTGTTGAGTTCAAGTAATCCATGGATTTCTCATGATGACCCTTAGCACCATTCCCATTTGGATGCCTCTAAAATGCTCAGAAGTAAGGTGCTTAATACTTCTCAGTTTGCCTGGTACAATCCCAGTTTACTCCCGTTGTAGGTCTATCAGTGACTGTTAATTGGTCTTAAAGCCCTCTTTGATACTTAGAAGGGTTGTGGGTTGGATGATAAAGTATGTGATTGCTTATGCATAAATTATGAAACTCTAGGTTGACAAAAATACAGGCATCTTGAGGGCAGAGAGCAACAACTTCTAGGTTGTTGTTCTATGCCAGTGTGCAGTGGAGTGTCTGACATGTTGGAAGAGCCCTTTAAGTGAGTGAATGAATGAATTATAAAGGAGCGTGTATCATCTATGGTGGTATTAAGATGCTTCTGTCGCTCACTCTAATGAAGTATGGGATTCAAAAGATGCCCCAAGTTTTCAAAAAATTTCAGGATATCACTTAACATGTTCATACTACTTGCTCTTACCACTTTAATTTTTATCAAAGAACATAAGTACATAATTCAAAGAGAAAACCAGATATCCCATAGCAATAAAAGACATGAAAAGCATCAGTCCTCTGCTCCAGGCCACCCTACCTGAGAAGCATCATCTGGCTTCTTAAAGGCATCTACTACCAGTTCTAGTTGTTTCTCCTCTTACCTTCATTTTTCTAAATAGCGTGCCATTCTGCAGAAATAGATGAGGATTTAACTGTTTCATTTCACCAACCTAGAATTGCCTTTCCTTTCATCTCCCAATCTAGTTAATCACAAGGTAAAAACAGTAGTCAGTGTTTATGTTTTCTGTGACTTTGTAAACGTTACAGTGCCTTGCTAGGACTACCCCTCTGTAATCCTTTGTTTTTCTGGAGTTGTCAGTTGCCACTGTTTTCTATTTTCTATATACTTATTTATCCTTAAGAGTTTCCAAAAGGTTCAATATCTCTGTTGAGGTCTATATCAAAGTATGCTTAAATAATATGTTTTATATACTGAAACATGTTGACTTCCTTTTTTTTTTTTTTTTTGGTGAGGTTAATCCTTTACCACAGGAGATTTCTGTGCCTCAAATCTAGGCTGGATTTTGATTTTTTTCTGGTTTAAGCATGGTTGCTGGCTTTCCAAAAGCAGGTTTAGAGAAGGGGGTTTAGGGGAGGGACAATTGGGGGTCAGTTTGCAGGCTTTTACTTAATCCTCTTGTTTATAGTTCTGAATCTCACCCTACCCTGACATACACTATGACTGATTTTTCTGAATCTGAGTCATTTAAATTGTTATATTCAGAGTCTAAATTTTCTGTATTCCACAGAAGGGGAGAGTAATTGTCTGATGCTTCTGGGTCTGGGAAGGACTTAGGGATTTGATTGCTCTTTATACAGACTTTTATTTTTTAATCATGCCAGTCTGTCCTTGCCTCACCTTGGAACTTATGTGATGCCATTCCATTTTTTAAAAATCCACCAAGAATTTATCTTGCTTTTCCTTAGTCTCCTTCATCATAGAGAGTTTATCTCTCCCTTTGCTGTCTTGTTATCACTCTTTTTATTTTCCACAAATTATGTGTTTAAATTCTCATCTTCCATTTACCTGTCTGGTATTAACTAGAGTTTAGCCAAACTTTAACAAGTGCTCTTCAGAATTCACATAGGAACTTTGGACTGAATGAAAGGATACTTGTTTTCAAAACGTCTGACTTGACTCACAAACAATGTTTAGGCAGTAGTGACAATTATCCTTTCCCACCCCTTTGAAGGAAGATGTTGACTAATACTACTATGACTGATTTAAGATACAGAGTGTTTGAGACTTAAAAAAATTAATTTATGTGATTTGTCGTGATAATCCATGGTCACAAATTCTACTTTCGGTAATAGCATATTAAGTTATTTTAAGCCATCTACCTGGTCATATTTTGCTGAAGCCCAAAACAAAATAAAAGAAAAAGAAAACCAACTGTTTGAGGGCATCACATAGTCCTAAAGCAGTGAGGAATTTTGAGGCTATGCTCTGAGAGAACAGGATTTTTATAGTAAGCTTTATATTTTGGGCTGATTTTATCTTTGAGGCAATTCCGGAAATGGCTGCTGAGTGACTGGAGAGCTAAGCAAAGTTTCTCACAGACTTGGAGCCCTAGTAAACACCTGAGATTTTTAGTTAAATCCTAAAGGGCTTAAACCCAGGATTAACTGAGAGCTAAAAATAGGCCAAGCTTTATATTTTGTGAATCTTAGTTTGAGATTATCTCAGAATTGGTTGGATTAAGGTGGTTGGGATTGCAAGTGGTCTCAGTCTTGCTGCTTGCCAGAAGGAAATGTAAACTCTGTTTGAAGATAATATTATCTCAAACTTTGAATTTTATCCGGTTTTTTTAATATGGTGTTTACTGCTCAAATAGTCATAATTGGTCATATCAGAAAATATGTCCAAAAATTAAGAGAAAATTATAGGTAATTAGAAATACACCTACAGGGACACCTGAAAATTGAATTATTAATTATATAACTATTAATATGCTCAATTAGATGCCTGATTGAGAATTTTGATAGAAAACTAAAAACTATAAAAAATATTTTAGAACTGAAAAATATAATGAAGTTAAAAAAATCAGTGGATGAGTTTAACAGCACATTGAGTATTAGACAACTGGAGGGAGAATTAGTCAACTTGACAGTTAGTCTGAAGGACATTTTCAGACTAAAGTCATGAAATACAGATGAAAGCATATGAGAAATATTATGGACATGGTGTGAATAGTACTAACATAGTTTATTTGTGGTTCCAGAGGCAGTCTAAAAAGAAAAGAGGACAACAACAATATTTAAAGAGATGACAAAGAATATTCCAAACTTGGTTAAAGAGGTCATGCTATACATTCAGGAAGAAATAGGAGCCAAGTATTATGAACACAAAGAATGCCGTGCCATGGCACATTGTAATAAAGCAGAAAAACTACAGACAGAGAAAATTCTAAAAGTAGTGAGATGGAAGAAATACATATCTCCTCTATGAAAGAGCAAAAATAGACCAAGAGTTGACTTCTCAACAGAAATACTACCTTTAAAGTGCTGGAAAAAGATACAACTGGCCATCTAGGACTTTAGCAAAAGTCTTTTAAAAATTAAAGAACAGTTTTCAGTCTAGCAGAAGCTGAAATATTTCATTACCAGAATACCCACACAAGAGAAAATTCTAATAGGTGTTCAGAGAAGGAAAGTGTTTTCCAATGGGAGCTCAGAGCATGCAAGTGGGACTGAGATTCTCCAGATTTGTCACCATTCTCTTCTCTATTTAAATTCCTCATAAGAACATTAGAGTCCATACTTTGTCCCTCATACTTTGTATGCCATTGCTTCAGGACTCATTGCTGCTATCCTTCTACCTTTCCACACAAAAAAAGGTGACTTCACAATTGCCAAATCTAAAGATTATTTTCCTACTCTTATCATATTGGAACGTGGCATCCTTCAAACTTTGGTAATCTTGTCCTTCATGAAATTTGCCAGTGATTCTTTGATGTACTTCAGAATCTTCTGTGGTACTGTATATCTTTGTTGAGAAGTCCCTGACATAGGTATGTTTTTAAGGCTCCACAGTTATTCTGATACTCAGCTGTCTACTTGAAAGCCTTCTCTACTCCTTTTTTCTTCTGTGATCTCATACTCCTCACTTCCTTTACTATTCTTATTTTGTCTTTCTCCTAGCTCTTTTTTCTCTGGCTTGTAAATGTTTCATCTTTCTTAAGTTTCTGATCTTGGCCTATTATTATTGTATTCAGATTATTTCTGATTTATAACATCTACTCTTATGGTTTTAACCTGCAATCACAAGATTGTACAGAGGCAGAGACTTGATATATTTTATTCTCTGCTACCTGTCATGTTTCTGGTGTAAGTGGGTGCTCCATAAATACTTGTTAAGTGAATGAATAAATGAATTATCTCATGTGTTCACATTGTTTAATTAAGAAGTGTTTTCATATTACAATGACCAATTTTATGGTTTTAACTTTCATATTTAGGTCTTTAATCCACATCTGTATCTGTATATCTATATCCAACTCTATTTATATATAGTGGACCAGTCTTCCCAACACCCAATTACTAAACAAAATCCTGTTTTCTCATTGATTTGTGGTGCCACCTTTATTTTCTAGCAAGTTGGATAACCCATCTTTTACTAAGATTTAATACATTATCACCTCGTGGGAGTGATGTTCAAGCTTCATAAATTGACTCAGAAAGGAATACATAGTAAAATACTTTCCTCATACATATGTGTGTAAAATATCTCCAGTGGAAATCTTACTAACAATTCCCTGTGGTGAAGATACTGTTTATGATATGGTTTGATATTTTCCATTATATTTTATTTATTTTTTAAAATAAGTGTTCACCATGATGCATTCGTGGGTTACAAGCTATAGTTTAAAAACATAGCTCCAGGAAACCATGGGCATCTTTCATATGCTCTCATTATATTCTACATGATCAATATTACTGTATCTTGGAGCTACATCATTATTGTTACATTTAAATATCTGTCTCCTTTCTAGTCTGTGTGTCTCTTTGACCATTAGAGTTAATACGTAATTTCTTTGTGTCTCTATCACCTAGCATCTGGCCAATAAATGTATTTGTACTATATTTTTGTAGAATTGGTACCTCTAGATAACTCATACTGAACATAACATGTTGAAAAAATTCTTGACTTTGCATTTGTGTACATTTTATTTTGAGGAAACTGCTTAGGCAGATAGTAATTTAAAGAACTAAAACTTTTAATAATATGTACAGTATTTTCTTTTGAGTTGTTCATGTATAATTTTCTGCTTTGCAGTAGAGTAGATATTGTTAATGATCAAGAATGTTATGTCAAAATAAAAGAAATATGACTTTTTCTTAGGGAGAAAATAAGCCTTCTTGTGCTAGTGGGAATAATTCTGTGTGTAAGTAGCCTAGTTGTCAAAAATAAATCAGTCAGACCACTCATTTTTATAGTTCTGTTTAGAATTTTCCATTTGGTTATCTTAAATTATTGTTCTTTTCCAGTCATTATTCAATCTTTTGGAATTTAGAAGATTAGTTCTGAATTATAAGCCTCCATCAAATGCTCAAGATTTACCCCGAAACCAAAAGGTAAAATTTTGAAAGATTTTTTTAAGCAGAGTTTATATGGTCTTCATATTCATTTATCTGTGCTTAATTCTGGGACATTTACCAAATTGAATATGAAACAGTGTCAAATTTGAATGTCAACCCATTAATCTCAACTACTACAGTAACTTCCTATTCTTAGTATATTGTAAGTATGAATTTTTCTTTATCTGTGTGTCAGTAATAGACCAATTTTTGTCTCACTTTAGTAATTGCTTTTTTCTTTCAGGAATGTCAAATTTCAGTGAACTTTATAGGTTACCATTTTCAATTCCAGGTCTTTCCTCGATTGTCTCCTGAAAAATTATGTGGAGATAAAAATTTTTTCAATTGTTTCTATAGATGAAGTCTTTAGAAGATTAGTTCTACACTGGCTGTCTTTGCAGTGCAGATCTGTAACTTCTAATACAGGCAATATAATGTGGCAGAGAACGCAGACAGCAGGGCCAACTCTTCTGGGTTCTGGCTGCAGAGCTAGAGCTAGTTACTTGATCTGTTTCTGCTCGGTTTCCTTATGTGAAAAGTGTAAATAGTAATAGCAATTATTTTATAGAGTTGCTGTGTGAATTAAATGAGATGAAACACATAAAGGACTTAGAAGTATCTGGTACATAGTAAGTACCAAGTGTCAGCTGTCGCTGGTTATTATACTGTTTATGTTAGCTTTTCAAAAGGTAGGACTGATTTGCATGCAGAAATTCATACTTAATGAAAACATTAATTATAGAGATGATATGCTTAGGTGCAGGGCTTTGGTGATCTTGTCATAAAGAAACTGTAGCCCTTGAGGGGACTAGCTGCAAAGACAAAGAAGTTAAAGTTTTAGGTTTCAGTAAATTATAACATAATTTGATTTGTAATTGGCTTTTTCAAGCTATACTCTTTTGTCTACGAAGTGTCAAACTGAAAAACAAGACATTTTTAAAAGAGAACCAGAATCACCTGACAACCTCTCATACTACAGAGAAATTAAGCAGATCCCTTTCAGTCATTACCATTTTTACATGAAACTGTTTGGACTGCTGCCTCTCTCTGTTGCAGTTTGTTAATTATAGTTCTTTCTTCTGATGTCTCAGTTGAAGTATATTTATAATTCATGTGGTTATTTAGAATTACTGCTTCCAATTTGTTATTCATATGTATCTTGACCTTTGCTTTTATGTTCCTGGATTTTAGTGCTTTACAAAGTTTTAATTTCTTTTATTCTTTAAAGTGTTGAATGAGACCATTCAGTTTTGTAATCTTACTTGAAAAAACAATTGTGATATCCATGCTTATGTACCAGAGCTGGTTTGGGGGTCATGAAAATGATCAGCAGAATACTAGAGACATGTATGAATCCAATCTTTAGCATCTTTCTAGAGAAATTTATTCCTCACAGTGGAAGGGTCTGCATGTCTTGATATCCCTTTAGTTTAAGGAATTAAAGGAATCTCTACTTCTGTTCTGAAAAAGACACTAAATAAAGAATGCCACACAGTTTTATGGAAGATTATTCCATAAATGAAGTTATTCTTTAATTTGGCATGGAAATAGCAATGGATACTGTATCTTGACATCCTTGAAGCAAACGTGGGATTTATAGTTACCAGCCACTAATTGGTGTTACAATTCAATTCAGCTCAATTGAGGTGATAAAAGACAGGTTTAAAAAGGTGTCAGTGTGACATTAGTACAAGTAGACTTTATGTACAAAAAAAGGTCTCCCTACATAGAGTATGATTTGATTTGTATAAATTGCAGAACCATGGTTGCCTGGGAATGATTAGGGAGGAGAGTGAGGGAATGAAGAAACTTGGGGGTGATGGATAGGTACGTTATCTTGATCATGGTGCTATATTTATGGATGTATACATGTGCAAAGCTCAGAAATTGTGCATTTTCTAGTGTACAGTGTGTTGTACATCAGTTACATCTTGATAACGAAGAATTGTGTTTGAATAGTTTCTATTTATGGTGGTATTTTCATAATTTAGCCAAGTACAGTAGCTGGTCTTAACAGGATTCACTCTTTTGCCTTTTGAAATTCAAGATTTTCTAGCCATAAGGGTTGGCTGAGAACAAAAATGTTTTATTATATTAAAGTATTTAACTTTTCACATATACTTCTCAGAAGAATTTCACTTAATTTTCAAAAGTCACTTATTTCATTTTTGTTACTTGGCAGGGAATGTCTCAAAAAACAGCATTGCCTTAGGTAGAGGGATTAATGAAGAAATTGATCTCAGAAAACTAAGGATATTTCTGAAACTATTTTGTGGATTAAATTTTTTAGTATTTGTACTCCTTAAACCTATTTATGTGGGGCAATTGTTTGGGAGTAGTAAATACTACAGAAAAATCATGGACTAGTTTTTATCTCATTTAAAACTTACATTTAACCTTTATCATCACGGGTGGAATTTATCATATTGATATAAAATCCATGTTTTCTATAACTTAGCATTTTTATGTTAGAATTTATGTACTTTCTGATTGTTGTAATTTGCACATAGTTTTTAGATCAAATAATTATTTGGAATCCATTTTATTCCCTTACACCTATTTCTTAGGATATCTTAATTCATACTGGGAACAACTATTTCTTTATTAATTGATTATATTACTCTGGGCAGCAACTGTACATACACAGACACACTTACAATTTTATAATATTGAGAATGACAACTCTATAAACTTGGGAAAATTACTAATGTTTAAGTAGTATATATAAGCTTTATCTGTTCAATTGTTGCTTTAAGAGCTAACTATAGTAAGAACTACTTGTCTGCTGCCATAGCATATTTCACTAAGGTGTGTGGATTGCATTCTTATATAAAGGTTTCTTCTTATTTTAAAATAAATTGTTGGTGATTGATAATATCAGGTTGTTTTTGTTCCTTCTGGAAGGTTTGGTTTAATCAGTCAGTGAGAATTGAATGCCTGCTTTGTATAGCAAAAAGCTGTGAGAGAGATATTGATGTTCTTGTCTTTGAGAAACTTACAGTTTATTGAGAAACAAAAGTGAGTTTTCATAGGAAAATTAGAAGGATGATACATTAGTCTAATATTAGGATCTAGTCTAATTACTTATTAGACTAACAGTAGTCTGATAATTAGTATTATCATGCAGCAGTAGCAGTTGGTGATTCATTGCTGGGTGAAGGACATTGATTTCAGTAGCTATGGAGTTTGGAGGCTCACTGACTTGGAGTGGCCTGTGATGGCTTCATGGAGGAGGAGGGCTTTTTGCTTAAATGGGTTTATTGAGGTAATGTACTTAAACAGTGCCTGGCACGTGGTTGGCACTCATTGAATGCTGGCTCTTGTTACTGCTGTCCTCAGCAGCAGCTGGGCTTTGCTGAATGGAAAGGATTATAATAAATAGACTTGAATGGGAATATTTTTGGCTGGGTAATGACTTGATTTGCTATGAATATGTGGCATTTATGCTGAAGTTGTGAGCTTAGGCTGGATCCTCTGCTGTTTTCATACTTGTTTCTTCCTCCTTTCAGTCTCCTAGATGACACTGACACTCTATGATATAGGAGTGCTGGATTCATCCCTAATCTATGTCAGTTAAATTTTTGGTTACTTTTAAAATGAGTATCTGTTTACCAGTTTAATCTTCACTTAAAGATTTTTTCCTTTTTTTCCGATAGGAGCATCGGAATTTGCCTTTTATGCGTGAGCTTCGGTATCTGTTTGCACTTCTTGTTGGTACTAAGAGGAAATACGTTGATCCATCAAGAGCAGTTGAAATTCTTAAGGACGCTTTCAAATCAAATGATTCCCAGCAGGTAGCTTTGTTGTGCTTACTTGTTTATTAACTATTTGTATTTTTTTAACCTGATTTCTCCTTAAACAGTTCTTTCAAAGATAAATGACAGTTGAAGATGTTGTTTATCTTTATAAAAATAAGGTGGAGTCACTTAAAACATTATTTGGAAGATTTACTTTTAAATTAAAAAATAGTAATAATCTTTAAAGTATGATAAATGAGCTTTAATTTATATTATATTTAAAATTAATAAGTGAAAAGAATAGGTAAAATTAAGACTTTACAAATGTGTAATTAAAAATTTTCACAAAGGTGTGGTCATCCAATGTCAGTAATAGTATTACATGCTGTTGATATGCCTGTTTTTGCTGGCAGGAGATAGATTTCCTTAATTACTCAGAAAAGGTTTCTGAATGACATTAACTTTGCTTTGTTTTATTTTCCAATCTTTATGTAGTGCTGTTTGGTTGCTTTTTATTAATTTCTTAAAAAGAATATTGTGAAATTTCCTGTAAAAATGAAAATGTAAACAAACCAGCATTTTCACAGTAATTTGAGAAGTCAGAGAAATTATTAAGAAGGGAAACAGAAGAGATACAAAGAAAGTAGCAGATAGTAATAGCAACAGTGTTGGAAAAGATGACAGTGAAGTAATAGGCAGAAGAAAAAGATATTACTTGAGAAGAGATTTAAAAAGCCACTACATTTACAGTGTAGTTTGTGTACTACTTGGATGTGTATCTGTTAATGTGGATGTGTGTGTGTGGAAAGGGTGTTTAGGGGATTTTAAAAGGTGTCTGATTTCTGCCACTGCCTTCCCTGTTGTTGCTTTTTTTTTTTAATTCACCCTTTATGGTAAAGATAAATAGCAAATAAGGTGGTCAAATCAGAATTTGCGTATACGTGTTTTCAGTCCCCCACCACCACCACCAATTTCTTCTCAAAAGTAGTGTGACAACTAGGAAACCTTTTTGTTTCTTGTCAGATATAACTTTGCAAAGTTATAGAAAAGTACAGAAAGTTGTTTTAAGTATTATGTTAATTTTCTAGGACAGCTGTAACAAATTACCACAAACTTAGTGATTTCAAAACAATAGAAAATGGTTCTCTTATAGTTCTGGAAGCCAGAACTCAAAAGTGAAAGTGTTGGCAGGGCCACGCTCCCTCCAGTGGCTCTAAAGGAGAAATCTTTCTTGCCTCCATCATCTGGTGGCTCCTGGCGTTCCTTAGCTTGTGGTTCTAGTCTCTGTCTTCGTCTTTACATGGCCTTTTCCCCTGTGTGTCTATGTGCCTGCTCCTTTTTTTTTTTTTCTTTCCTTGTAAGAATACCCATCATTGGATTTAGGGCCTACCTTAATCCAAGATGATCTCATCTTGAGATCCTTACCTTGTTTACATCTGCAAAGACTTTTATTCCAAATAAGTCGCATTCTGAGGTTCCAAGTGGACATACATTTTCACAGTCTCAATTTAACCTGCTACAGGTGATATCTCATACCAACCTTTGGTTCCTTTGTATATCTTGAAACATTGGTGGACCATTTAGGATTTGGCACTAGAGGCTGTTTATAACTGGCTCTTTCTGTTAAATTTAGTTGTCTTTAGCTGTATGGCTTTGGAGCAATTTGCTTAAGCTTCCTAGACCTTAGTTTCAGCATTTTAAAGGTGAAAATGTTGGCCCAGATACTCGTCAAAAAATGTCTAGCTGGAAAAATATGTGATAATAAGTTTATTTTATACTTAGGGCTATTTTAATAAAGGCAAATTGCTTACACATATTTGTCTGTCTTTAGGCAGTCTTAGCAAGATTGATTTATTCGTCTCCTGTCCTGGGCCACAGGTTCCGTGTAAACCTGTTTTCTGTGTTCCAGTTTAGATTATTAAAAGAATTTTATGGTAGAACAACTGTCATTGCCTATTCCTGTTTATCTGCATCAGGTGAGCTAGGACCAAAGGAAAGGATGGCAGAGGTAAAGTATGTGCTGGTTCTGAATGGGGCATCAGTGTGACGTTCATGAGGTGGTGGACTGGATAGTCAGGAAGTCAGTAATTGACTGGACTCAGTCTATCCAAGTTAATAGATATCTTGGTAGAACTGGATATGGCTTAAAAAGTTGTGTGTAAAAGTTAAATTGAGAAAATTAATTGTTGGAAAGCATGTATGCCCTCCAAGAAAGAAGCCAGTAATAAATCTTTATATAATGAAGAACTCTTTGGTAATATGGGTCCTTCATTTTATACAGATTCATTACAGAGCTCTTTTGGGGGATAGTTATTTTTTTTTATTTGTAAGTTTGACTTTATATATATTTCCCCCTTAAGAGAAATTACATGATTGTCAATATAATGCTTTTCTCAAATACTGATGTTATACTCTGGTGAAGTTACAAGTATTTCTTGTATTTGATGTGAAATATTTCATATGATACCTTTGTAAGGAGTCAGTTAATTATGCATTTGAAATGACTAGCCATAAGTTTTATTTTGCAGTATTTATTATTTTTATTGATAGGCTCAAACATAATCAACCCTTTTTCTCTCCCCCACAGCAAGACGTGAGTGAATTTACACACAAATTATTAGATTGGTTAGAAGATGCCTTCCAAATGAAAGCTGAAGAGGAGACGTAAGTTACCATGAAATTTAGTGATGGGGTTAGGAGAGTGATAAGTAACACTCATCTTTTTCCTCTTATGTGTTCAGTGTC